TAACAGAAACTTAGGAAGATGAAGTCAGCTGCAACCCCCTGAGAACTGAAATCAGGACAGACAAGAACTGGTGCTTTTCTACTGATTAATTAATTCACAGGTTGACCTCATGAAGAATGTCTGTGTAACATAAAGTTGGGTTTAATAGAGTTTTATTAGGCTTCGTATGCTCTAACCTACACAGAAAATTTAGTTGCATCACCAGGTCCTACAGCAGGAATCTGTTTTTTGATAGCATGCCATAAGATGGCTTGAAGGTCCTTCATGGGCATCCATTTGGTGTCGTAGCAGCTACGGTGGTGCCCTATCAGAGTGGGTCAGTGCTTTCTTCAGCTGTGCAATTGCCAGCACAAGAACTGGCCTTTGGGAAGGGAACCTCCAAACTAATTTTTCCTATTTATCTCACTTTTTAAACTACCTCCGGTTCATCATTAGATACACTAACCTTTCATGAAAGTCTGTGCATTCAGCTATCGGTGGTTCAACCCCTCAGAGCAGTTTTGTTGCACATAAGCCCATATGTGCCTTTGCATAGGTCTGTGTGGGGAGGAAAGCAAGATTCTGGCTGTCACAAAAGGGATTTCAGGGCACCAGCCCTCAGGTGGTTTTGTGAAACCTGAGGAGATTGCAGTTCCAAGGTATTTCTTCACAGAAATCCCAAGTTTACAACATACTGTTTAATTGAACATAGATTAAAGTATTTGCCCTTCAAATCTTCAGCATTTTCTTTACAGTCCCTAACTTGCAGGCTAGAGAACCTCAACAAAAGAGTTGAAGCTAGAGTTTTGCCCACACCAGTCACTTTGGTCTGTTTGTCCAGCCAGACTATAGCCATCAAATTTTGTGCCCGAGACAGGAACATAGTCTGTATACAGTATGTCTCTGGAAGACACATCAGGTCATGGCTACATCACCTGTATCTAGCTCTAGGCTGATCTTCCCTGTGGAAAAACCAACCCATCTCCAGATTTTCTCCTGTAAATAGGTGCTTTAACCAGGTACCTAAAAGCAGACGGGCATGCACATGTGAAGACATGGTGCTTTCACCTTGTGTGTATGCACATGTACACACGTGTGGTTTATTATGCTATTTTAGGAATTGTTGCATCTTCTAGGCTGACTGTACATGAGAAAAAGTTTCACATTAAGCTGTAGTAAAACAGAGCTCATTGCAGGATTTAGCCAAGTATAGAAAGTGTCATTGATTGCTCCCTGGAGATGCATCCTTTCTAATGAGAGTCCTAAAATGTTGGAAGATGGTAACATAAAACTCCACAAAACTACTGGAGTTTGCAGACTTATTACCATACCGTACCCGTGTTGTAAGTGAGGGGGGGAAAGAAATGTAAATAAACTTTTTCAAATGGGATTGTTGATGGGGGAAATGTGTAAAAATGAAGCTGTTGGCAGAACTCTGTTAGCTTATGAATTATACATTTAATTAAGGGAAGCTAAACTGGTAGGTTTTACAACTTCTGATTTATTGTGTCTTATTAAAGACAGAATTTCAGTCCTGCTCCCGCTGTTGGGTGCCGGCAGGGACACGGAGCAGCTGCGGTGCAGGGCTGGCAGGACACCTCGGGGGCACCTGAGTCGCAGCACGTTGTGTTATAGGCACTGAACCCGCTCGCCGCGGCACCCATGGCACTGTAACAAGGCTTGGCCAAAAAGCAGGGTCCTTGGGTGGTAAGCTCAGATGGAGATCTGCCCCTCCAAGGTAGACTAGTCAAATAGATTAGTTTTAAGTTGCCTAGACTATAGACGTACGTTATTCATGTATGCATTGTGAAACACCGTATGGAAAAAGATGGCAGAAAAGAGCTAGGAAGGCAGAATAGGACAAGAAACAGGGAGAGGAGTGAGTATGGAAGATAAGTGTCAACTCTGCAATAGGGTCGAATATTAAATAATCTCCAAAATATTTGTGAGCAGCTGAGCTCCCCCCTTCATGAGGGTCTTATGGTAAAGCTCCACGTTCCCAGTTTCACTTTCCCATATTCAGAGTGAAGAAAGAAGCTGTAACACTGACCAGCAATTTGCTCTCTGGATGTTTAGAGGGACAGTGTTATAAACAGAAATTATTTACTAAAGCAGCTTTCTCCTGGCATTGCAGCACTGCCATTCCTACTTAAAAATAGGCTAAGCAGGAAAATGAAAAGTAACAGGGGACAAAAACTTCTGTGACCTTCTGAAGTGGCTTGAAATGAGTTTAAAACTAAAGCAATGCTTACCTTGCCTTTGCTAATTTGTGCATCCCCAGTAGTTTGCCCTGTAATGGACTCGCTCTTTCACCTGGCAATATTACACTTAAGCACTAATGGGAAGCAGCTGATACTGGAAAGGGTGCATGATATGTATCTGGTGTTTCCTAGGCTTGTCCTATACGTGGATCTTCAACAACGATACCTTACGTGTTCAGGAAGATAGCCGTCGCTTTGTTTCACAAGAAACGGGAAACCTGTACATTGCCAAAGTAGAGCCGTCGGATGTGGGCAATTACACCTGCGCCGTAACGAACGCTAAAGCAGAGCAAAGCGTGCGGGGGCCACCCACTCCTCTCACTCTCCGCAGCGACGGTAAGTTATCGGGGCACGCTTGGCCAAAACCATGCGGCACGATGCCAACCGGGGCCATCTCCAGTAGTTGTTAAACTGATACAGCTATACATCCTCATGGAGGTAAAAGGCTCCCAGTAAAAAGTTGTGCAGTGGGACGGGATCCCACAGTTTCTGCTGGATTGAAAAGAGATCTGAGCTGTCGGGACAGGGGTGATGAGATAAATATATATAAAGGAAGCCGTGCTCAAGATCATTGAAAAATAGCAGGAGAATGTCAAATGGTATGTCAATATTTTTCATCTTACGGATGCCTGTGTTGAGGTTTAAATCCAGCAAAACTTTCTAAATTTATAATCTAGGTATAGCTTAAATATCAAATCTAAAAAGCTGTTTCAAAAATGAGTCACTGAGGTGAGAAACTCACCTGCACAAATACAAATACCTTTCTGGCAACACTTCTAATTAAATGTTCACAGTGAGGAATATATTCCTGGGAAATCTTTACACAAAGTTTTTTCTAAGTTTGCTCACCTAAATTTCAGTACACTTGTACTGTTTGCAAAGCAGTGGTGACAATCAGTAACAAAAGTCTGTGCAGAGTTAGGTTTCTAGGATAAATAACTCAACTCTACATTATAGAATAATACTTCTGCTATGAACCTGTGCTGCTCTATAGCATAATCAGGTCACCCAAACCCAAGTTATAGTTCCACAGCTCAAAAGTTAATAATTTGGTGCAAACTGTGATTGTAAATGCTTCAGATCTTTTCTATTTTCTTCCTTTCCGTCACTACCTTATTCCTTTATCTCAGATTCGTTCTATCAGTCTTTTTTTATCTTCTCCCATTCACTTTGGCGGCTCCTGGATTGGGTCCTAAACAGGCAGCCTCTGAGGCAAGGGTGCGAATTGTGTGTGTGATACTAGCCAGATCCCTGTTAAATATAAAATAAGAACTGGTTCATTTTCAGTGTGGGATCTGGGCAAAGACACCATGTGCAGGAAAATATCTGCTTCCTATTTGTCATTACTGTTGGATTGAGCCACGCTGGCAGACGCGTGCACCTTTAAGAAGTTCAGCTAAAATTTTAGGTTGCTAAAGCAATCCCAAACCTGCTGCAAAATTAAATGCCCTTAAGGATACTGGGTTATCTGTAGTTTATCAGATGTTCAGCCAGATTTTCAGAAGTGATAATTACATCTAATTGCATCAGCCTTGCTCAAGTCTGGAGCTCACATTTGGATGGTTTAAAGAAGTTGTGTTTTACAAGCATTTTGGACACACAATTCCATCATTCTCTCTCGCACCCAGAATCTATCCAGTGTCCTGAGAAGTGATCGATGTTACAGGCGTTGCTTGTTAACACCTCTTAACAAAAGGTGGGAACCCTAAATGATCTCTAAAACCTTAATGCACGAGTATAACACACTTGTACGTGTAGAGCTTGTATAAAGTCATGCTCTTCAACTCTCAAATGCATACGAATTACAAATTTAACATAAGCTTTCAGCATAGGGTTTGATTTTTCACCCAGCAGGCTAAGCCTGCTCCATAGACATCACGTGTTGATTGCCACGGTGGAACACAAGGCTTTAACGTTATTAATGGCATCCTTTCTTTTACACTGAAATTCTGTTGTACTAGGCAGGTCTGAGGCTCAACTGGAGTGCTAGCTGTTTTGATGTTCAACAGGTGTGATGGGGGAGTATGAACCTAAGATTGAAGTACGCTTTCCAGAAACAACATATGCAGCGAAGGGCTCATCTGTTAAACTGGAATGCTTTGCCCTTGGAAAGTAAGATTTTTGGTTTTTATTAAAATGTGGCTTCTAACACTGTTCTACAGTGAGAAACAATCGTTCTTTTTAATTTGCACAGTAGAATTTTTCTGGTCAGAATGTGGATTTGTAAAACTTACCTCTTTAACCTTGTCTTGGTTTGATTGTTTCTGTGCAATGTGTTCATAAGGAAATGAGAAAACACCACCATAACTGAAGCTCCCTTGCTTGTAGCTTGAAGGTGGGAAATCAGAACAGAGACCATATTCCCTGGGAGTTTTACTCTGGGATGATAAGACCTTACTTCAGGTTACAGCAATCAGTGGTGTAACTGCACATTCACATCCAATTGCATCAAAATGGGAATATCAAGGTCAGGTTGGACGGGGCTCTGAGCAACCTGATCTAGTTAGCGGTGTCCCTGCTCCCTGCAGGGGGGTTGGACTAGATGACCTCTAGGGGACCCTTCCAACTCAAAACATTCTATGATTCTATGTTTTTTTCTGTGTGGCATTGTTGCTAAGAATGAAACTTGGTGAAAGAGGCTGTGTTTCAAGAATACATAGACAGTCTAGATGGGTTGCACAGATTCACATGGCTCTTAGCACCCTCTTCTCCAAAGCTGAGGAGCCCTTGGAAGCCCTAGCAGAAGCTCTTCCTGCTAAAAATCTGCCAATCTATTAGGCTGGTGGTCACCTATATTTTTCCTAGGTTGCTTATACTGTTGTATTCACTTACAGAAGCAGTAGCACATTCAAACAGCAAGGGGTGCTCTGTATTCAAAGAGCAGATGGTTAACTGAGTAAGTGTAACCAGCCTACGAAAACTAGTCTTTCCAATGAGCATCTATTTCTCTGGAAAAGCTAAAATAACCTTAGATTGTTGACCTCTATTTAGTTTAAGTTCACTTTGACAATCCGTTTTAAGGCTGTAAGCTTTTAAAGTGTTTAGAGCTTTCCCAGAGGTTAAAAGCCTGACTTGCAGACAGTACAAATTAATCAAATGTTCCTCTGGAACCTATGCTGAGAAGTAGAAAAATAAAGCAAATAAAAAGTTAATAAGATGGGAAATGGCCTTCTCTTTCAGAGGAGATTTTTATATAAAAAAAACTAATCTTGTGGCTAATTTTTGTTTAAGGGTGAAGAATATTTCTACAGAGCCATATTCAAGGGCATATGCATTTTTTTTTTTTTGGCCCAAAACAAGTACCAGACTGGAATGCTCCTGCTAAAGCTGATTTTCCTTTCCAAATACTGTCAAGCTACTTCTCTTTAAATACCTCCTTAATTGTGTGTGAGTCAGTGCAGGCTTTACATTTCAAGTTGTCATTTCATATTTCCATCTGTTGCATGGAAAGCATTTAACAATGATACATTGACTGCATAAAGGCATTTAAAAAAAACCGAGTAAATGAGATGTACAAAATGGTGCCTTCCGACTGAAGGGGTAAAGATGGGTCACGTTAACGTGGCACATGGGCTTTGCCATTTTAAGAACACCATAAGGAGGAAAAAAAGTGGACTGAAAGGACACGTGCATAACGAAATCCCGCAGTGAGCACAGTGCCCTCTTCGCTGTGCTTAGAAAATGGAATGGCTGAGAGGGTTAATGCAGCTTTAATATACATTTTCTTCTTCATATATAGGGCTGCAGCTGAAACCAGTGCTGCTGTACTTCTCTGGAGTTATACTGAGTAAATACCAATGCTCCATGGGCAGAAATCCTTTCTTGACAACCTTTTCTTTTAATCATACTACTAACGTGCATCTAGTTTAGTGTGTGTATTTGAGAGGTGCTGTTTGTGAGTAAAGGCTCATTAGTGGTGTGGCTAGAGAATTTCTCCTCTCCAGATTTGGGTTTTGATGGGTAAGATGCCTTGCACAGAACCGTACTCTCTTCAGGCTGGTTTCTCTCTGCACAGAGCCTCCAACTGCATTTTCACTAACATGTCAATCAGGAAAAAAAGCTTTATTTCAGAGCTGGCATTTATATGTGAATAAAGCAAGAGAAACAGATTGCAGGTGAAATACTCTTAACTTACTAGATAAGGCCAGATTTCTAAAGGTATGTAGGTGATTAGTGGTATTGTTAAAAGCTTGAAGTTTCCTACCTCCAGCTGTTTACAATTGTAGTTAGGCACATAGAAATGCAGCAGCGTGGCCATCTGCACCTTTAGATGCCTAAATTCCACTAAAACACTAGCCCCTACTATTGTCTGTTTATGTTAAAATCAATTCAGCTCAACATTTGTTGAGCTATACCTCTGATCTGCCACAAGCACTAACGGTTTATTATCTCTCTTGGATTTCAGAACTGCTTTCCCATTATCCATAATTTTCTATATTCATACTGTTAGTCCACTGGTTCAGACAATGCTGTCAGCTGCTGCTACCTCTGCACTATGAATAACAGAAATCTTTCACGTCGAAGGCAGATTATAGGCAACCTGCTGTGGTTTTGGTCTCCAAAAGTCTTAAATGAAAGTACTTTCATGGTATTTAGAGAAATAGCATCTCTTTTCTATATAGAACAGCAAATCATACCTACTGGACCTTGCTCAAAAAACGCTTCCACATTTAAAATGCAAGTAAAAGAGGCCGTATTTATGGCTGAGATTTAAGATGCCTTTTTACCTGGGGGAACTCAAAGCCACCTAACAAAGTACTCCTTCAGGCGGGCTGTGGGACACCCCAAGGTAGGTGTATTCCGCATGCCTCTGCTGCAAAGCTTTCTTTGCATTTTACATCAAAATGTCGTGACTGACTCTCACAAATGGTCTCCTAGCCCAGGCATAAAACCTTGCTTGTTTTGAGGAAAATAAATGGGGAGGGGAGGGAAGAGTCAGTAGTTATTCCTGGGAAGAAAGTTTGGAGGGATGGAACCCGAATGGACAAAAGTGCTTGGGTCAGCTCTTGACTGTGAATTGTGTTTTGCGGAACAGAGACCATGAATAGTAGAGAAGTTTTTGAAAAGCAAGGTAGTCCTCAATGTGATGGAAATACAGTTAGGCAAAAAGGAAAGTAAGCAGCATGCAACTATCTGACGATTGGCATGGGGAATCTAAAGTGAAAAATGCACTTCAAACTTAATTCTTTAAAAGGGGGAAAACTGAAATACGAAATAGTATCTTGACTATTTCAAATATTGCAGCCTGTGGCAATTTAATAGAAGAGATGAGACTGTGTTCTGCACTAATATTCATTATGTTGACAGTGTTTAATACTATGCCAGTATTAAAAGTCATGTTTTGGATCAAGCTGTATTAATCATACCATACATCTAAATTATTGCTCACTATGTCTTTGAGTTGATTGAGTACCATGGAAAGAGTTACATTTGGTAGAGTTACATTCAGTTGAGTTACTATGCTCCTTTGTCTAGATTTCTTCCAAAATAACTTTTTTAAAAATGAGAATAGTTTCTGGAATGAAAATAAACAAAGTAGTTTCCATGTCTGTTGCACGCATTTAGTAAACTGTGTCTGTTTTTACGTTTTTCTTCATTTTCTTCTCGAAGATAGGGAAATAATCTGTTCAGAATCCCTGCAGATGGGCCATTGCCAGCTGAGGTTGTAAAGAGCATATGTGAATAATACAAACCAGGATTTCTTTCAACCCAGAATATTCATTTTTCACGGGAAGACCCCGTATATTCTTGTAAATGTATTCAGGGAAGGGTTTTTCTAAAGGCTGTTAGTATGAGTAGATAATCATAAAGCTACAAGGGGCTTCCACATAACCATCTTTACTAAATGTATGTAAAAATAGCAGCCTTCACTTCATTAGATGGCTATTCTAGTAAATTCTCAAGGAGGCCATATAAGGCTCCATTACAGGATTCTAAAATCCTATGTATATATGAGTGGCTTCTGCCACCACAAGTGAAGTTTGCTATTTTCAGCCCGCATTCCTGATAGAGCTAATACCTTAAGAGTTGTATTTTAAGGGATGAGCCAGCAGCTCTGGAGGATCCTCTTGTACATAGTTAAGGCGAGTGGCTTGTGACCATAAGAGAATGAGACAATATCGAGTTCCAGAAAACTGCTGCTTTGTTTCCAAAGTAATACATCAGGATGATTAGAAGCCCGAGTGCTTTAATTATTATGCCCCTTGGATCCTAATCCTTCCTTGTGTCAGCTGTTGATGCAGACATGATAGCAGCTTTCAATCCTCAGCTTTGTCTCATTTGTTTAACCAGGCATGGTCTTCATTATCGAAGCTGTAGATTTAATTTTATTGTGAAGTGTCCTCAGATGCACAGGACAAAAGATGTAATGCATCACCTGGCTGCTGAGTCTTTGCTGCAAAAAGGTGGAACTTTCATCTTGGTGCGGGCAGTAATGCTGCAGACAAATTAATTTCATGTTCAGTGTGACAAGACTTGTCACCGACCAAAAAATATTTTCCATCAACTTTTCTTTCTGAGTTCGTAACTTATGGTTTTGATTTTGCTGCCTGTATGGTAGAATATAAATTAAATTAGTACTCCTAGATGCTCTGAAGGTTTCAAATAAACTGCAGATTTATGTACAAAGACACTCTGATATTTATGCACTCTTTTCTTATTTACTCAAGTGAAAGCAAGACTTTGTCTATGAAGTGCAATAAATTTGAAAAGTGTACTCATTGTTTCTTTACATATTCCAAAACTTTTTAGACCCAAGCAGTATCTATTTAATCTGGTTATTGGTAGTGACTAAATGAAAAAGAAGACCCACCAGTTGCAGGACCACCCCTAATCCGCCTGGGAAGGTACTGGTCTGTGTAGCAGGCAGATACTGGCCTTCAACAGAATATGATTATACAACATAATCCTACAAAAATCCACAAGGCTTTATTTGTTAAATTAGGTTGTGTATACACTTAACTATACCTAAAGTACAGTTTCACTTCTTGAAGCATCAGCTTGTAAGATAATTAAATTGCTTTTTGTAAGAAATTACCTAAATTTAAATTCTGGGTCTTTTTTACCTTGAAAGGTTTCATATGGCCTGTAGTAAGGGTTGCTGTTAAAAGATTTGGTGTTAAAGACGTAAATTAACATCAGAAGAAGGTGAAATCAAAAAACCACCTTCTGCAAAATACAGTGACCGAAGGTGCTGGGAAGCCTGTGGTCATGAGGTGCCAGCAAAGGCGATGAAGAAATGCACATCGCGAGCTGCTGTGATAACGAAGGTCCTTCCTATGGATGGTGGCACACAGCTGAGCTATGGATTCTCCTGCAGTCTGCTCGTTTAACCTATAGCTCAGGCTGATGAGGAGCTGCTGTCCTGACAAATGAATTCCCTCTGCTGATAAAACTAGGACGCTCAGCGCGAGACTCCCCGGCAGGAGAACAAAGTGCGCTTAAGTATTTATTGCAATTCTGTATTTAAACACAGCAAAGTTGATGAACCAAACACGGAGGTTTTTAATGTCATCCTGCCACGATTAACATCAGAGGGAGAGCGTTTCAAACACCCTTGTGTTTGGCCAAAAATGAGGTGAGTTTGCCTTGAAACATCCCCGAGCGTGTCATTATGAGTATGTCGTGTGGATAAGGAAAACAGGACGACGTCTTCAGCTCAAACCTTGGTAAACTTGACTTGACAAATTGATAGAAGGGGCTTTTTCCTGCAGAGCCCTGCCTCTGGCCTTGGTGTCAGCACAGACTTTCCTTTACTCATGATTAGTCAGTACTAAGAGAAAACAAATGGCTAGTAAAATTGGAAATATTTAGATGAAGCACTTTCAGGTAGCAGAGCATGAATGAATGCATCTAATTTGTTTTTCTTCTCCCATATGGCTGTTAGTTTCTTTTAATCTCTTTGTTACAAAAAAAAAAAAATAAATCCAGAAGAGATGCCTTTAAAGTAAGTAGTTCAATGCTTCTGGCATTCAATGCACTGCATGCTGCTGTTATACAGTAGCTATTCACCCACTGTTTAATATGCAATAGCATCTTAAAAGCCAGCCATGCTCTCCTTCGTGTTGTCAACAGTCTGTATCAATCTACTGTAAGGCTGCAAAACGCCTCTGGTTGTTTTCCTGACTTCAGCGTGGCAACTGAGGGACAGACCTATTCTGCACAAGAGCTGCGTTTCTTCTAAATAACTAAGAAGTAACTTGATTTACAGAAATTCTGCATGAATAATGTCATGCAATGCTTGTGGAAGAGACAGCACCTTTTAACAGACCAACCGGTGCGTTGGAGAAAAATAGACAAGCCCTTTCAAACTTCCTCGTAAGGAACGCTATTAAACAAGCTTGCATCTGAAATAGGTTTTGGTCTTATAGTGAAGGACAGTTAATAAAGGTGGTGATGACAACTACTGGTGTCTGAAAAGATCTGGAATTTAAATAACTTTATAGGTCTTGAACCAAAATAGGAAATAGAAGAATAAAATCTCAGTTGTTCTTTCCAGCTCTTTCACTGGTTAATGATGTCTGACGTGTCCTGGTCTCTCATTCATAGTGAATGGTTCAGCTGTATTGGAGGAGTCACGCAAGAGTCCGAACTTGTGTGTATATGTATATATGAATTATCCCTATATATATACATACCAGTGCAGAGTTTATTACAAAATCTGGAGCAAATTGCATATAGTTCCAAACCATTTTCACAGGCAGCTCAGTTATGATAGAAAATGCAGGGCAGCTAGAGAAATTATTACGCTGCTTAAATAGCTCTTGGAGATCCCTCTGTTAAATTTATGGTCTTGGGACTGTGTTTTTCTGTTTTACGGAGCAAGGGAAAGGGCAGCTTGGAGGTTCCCTTGCCCAGCTGATCTCCCACCAGCATGAGGAAAACATTTAGAGACTTCCAGTTTACCCACCCTATCTTTCAAGCTTAAATGCAGAACTAAGCAAATGTATGGGATTGTTATTCATTGTATGTTAGAGTGGCCCAGCTGTAAATTGTCCCGTACGTAGTCTCTTGCTGTTGACTCCGGGTTTGTGGTGACTCTAACACCTGCCCAGCTCTTCAATCCATGTAATTTGCTGAGTACTCACACTTCTCCCGGGTCCTGGTTCTTCTGGCTTTGGGTGAACTCGTGGATGTCGTAGCCACCCAGACTCAAAATGCAGAAATTAGGCCTAACCTTACCTGTGTTATGTAATTTGTCCGTTCTGTATTTGTGACTTGATTTCTTTGGTCAATAACCAAGGATTTGAACCAGAGACCTTAATAATTTAAGCTGTGAGCGGTTACAGCCTCTGCTAAAAAGGAATAAAGTTTTTGTAAGCCAGGACCACAGGCCAGAGACCTTGAGGGCTAGCAGGCATCGTGCTCTTCTAATTTCCATGGAAGTTATGTTTGCGAGTTCAGCGCTGTGCGTTTGCTCTTGATGTTGCTTCCAATGGAAAAAAGTCAGCCTTTAGCCAAAGCTTCTGGAAAAAGTTGTTCAAGATGAAACTGCTTGTCTGCTTAGAAAAAGCAGCTTACTTTAGTTTGCAGAAACAGAAAGCAACTGTGAAATCCAAGACTGTTAATATTTCAAAGTGTTTTGGTGACGTGGTAGATCATGGAAGTGAGGGTTGTATGGTTTGTGATACTACCAGGAATTCAAGAAGTGTTTATAGCTGCCTTCAGTTTTCTTTTTTTTTTTTTTTTTTTTTATTGTATAGAATATATTGATCCAAATAGAAATGAAAATGATAGCTACAAAAACATGAAACAAGAAATATTCTCTTTTGTCTCTGTCTCCTTTCAGCTTCCATGTCTCACCTTTTCCACTTCCTTGCTCAACTGTCCGTCTGCCCTGGCTCCCATTTTTTATACTGAGATTTATCGGTATTTTTAGGTCCTTTGAATTCTCATCCAATATTTCCTATTTTGAGGTGTGAAAATGCCTGTAATGCTATGGGGAATTTGTTTGCTCTGAAAACCAGTGAATAATTCAGTGCTTCTATGGTGTTTATTTGGACTTCCAAAGCCATTCCTTCAGTGTCACAGTGTTGAAAAGCAGGTTTGAGCCCTAAGAGCTACTGTGGGGAAAGTCCAAATCAGCCTAAGCAGCAATCATAGAATTGACTGAGGACTTCATCCCACTGTTGGATTTGTGCCCCTAAATAAATTGGACAGGTTATAAAGTCTCAGACTTATGAACCTCTGTATGTCACACTTAGAAACAAATGATTGCTTTTTAAAAATATTATTACCCTTATGAAATGATTTCATGTTATCTTTTCTCTGCTATAACAAATGCCCTCTCTTTTTCTCTAATGAAACACAATTATTTAGTCCTGTCCCTAGTATTAGCTGGAAGAGGTCTGGTGGAAACCCATTGACAAAGAAAATTGAACACAAAACCAAAGGAGTTCTTGAAATCCCAGATGTTCAGCAAGAAGATGAAGGCTCTTATGAGTGCATTGCAGGAAACATTCGAGGAAGAAACATTGCAAGAGGTCAATTATTTGTCTATGGTAAGCAGATTGATTAATTTCTTCATTTATTTTTTTTTGCAGAGCATGACGGTGTTCAGATGTATTTTGTAGATGAAGTCTATTAGCCTCTTACTGGAGATACGAAATGTAGTTCAGGTTAAGCGGATTAAAAAGTGATTGGAGGTCTGCAGTGACCTTCACTGAATTACATCCTCAGCAAATAAAGGCATTTTGCATTAAAACTCAGATTGAAAATGTGGGCTGTGCCGTGATGAAGTTGTAAAGGTTAATATGAGGCAGAAAGAAATCCCTGGTACATTTACATGAAACATTAAGGGCAGGCAAAAAGATTTACTCTCAATAGCTCACAGCAGCATAAAGCTGTGCTGCCCCAGATGCAGATCAGGGAAGGATTCATGAGGTTTTGGTTCATGCGAACGTAAGATTATTTCACCTCCTATTCCAGCTGAACTGTATTGCTCCATAAACAGATGAGGGCAAAGCGGGGGAAACTCATTCCACTGCCTCCCTCTCCTTCCGCCTTGTCTAAAAGTAGAGAATAATATTTCTGTGAAACTGTTCTCCCTTTCCTTTTCCCTTCCCGCCTGCATTAATTTCCTGTGAACCAAGTCCCACATGATGGTCCCTCACAGCCACGGTGAATTATACGCTCTTTAGTCCCATGGTTAATACCCAGGGAAAGCAACATATTTTGACATGAATAAGAAGGGAGATCTTTTCTTTACTTCATAAATCTTTCAAAAGAGAAGGAAAAGAAATAAAACGTAACACTGAAAAATAAAATTACGGAAAGCTAGACTGAGCCTACAATTAACATCTATGGAGAAGACCTTGGCAAGTGGTTTTTTTTTTTCTTTTTTTCTAAGTAAATCTCTTCTAATGAAGAGGTGCAGGCTTTGCTGATAAGCTACCAGTCTCCTGCAGCCATGGCTAATATCAAGATATATGCCAGGAATAGAGCAGTCTGCTGCTGTTTTGAATATTTAATTATTTCTTTGCTTTTAGGGGGTTATTTTTGTTCTCATTGCTCACTAATTCTTGCAGAACATCAATCAAGCAGTTCCATTAAAATTAAGTTCCATAGATTACCTGGACATGATTGATAACAGCATAGGCAATTAGAAAATTATGATCAGTTAATACAATCTAAAACAATGCGCTTATGAAATGTGCTTTGTAAATTAATTAATAGCTGTTCATAGTGAAATACATAAACAGCATTCATGAAGCTTCTGCACAAGATTTTTTTTTTTTTATCATATTAGGAGTGGGCTGGTATATTATCTACCTAATTGAGTTCCTCTCGCTTAATTCCTGTGCTGCGGTGTTCTGGCTCTGTAGGCAGCTTGTCTCGTGGAAATTGGGTTTCTTTGCTGGACACTGCTGCTTTGTGTACGATACCTGGACCTCATGCCTTAGGCTCTGAGAGCAGTAAAAATGACGAGTATTTAGCATCGCTTTTAAGCATGGTGTACTGTTTCCAAGATACTTTCCCATTCTGGGAAGTGGCTCGTTGGCGTTGATTAATCTCATGTTGGACAATCCCAAGGTGCTTTGTTGGGGCAGAGTCACGACCTCCCCGCAGGGTCGTGCTGTAGAGGGAGGCTTTTTAGTAGCTTGTTCTGCTGGTCTCAAAGGTTAACATAAAATTAAACCGCTCTGTGTAAGAACTACATATATGTGCGTGTATACATATTTATATACATATGGAGACTACAGAATTATGATTTAATTACCCAGCCAAAAATCTCTCCCAGGATAACACCAGCCACTTATGCTAGAAGCAGAGGGATGGAACCTAGTATCTCACTTGCATGTGGCTTTGGTCTATCCCCAAGTTAGGTGGGTGTTAGTCATCCTCCCTAGGTCTCATATTCACCTATATATTGACAACGATTCTAAATGTCAGCCTGCCTCGAGCTAATTCCTACTCAGCTCAGTCCTTGAGTACTTAGCTGGATGTTTACAGAGCTCATATGTGAGTCTTGCAAATTCTGCTTTTACACAGCAATGAATTTATGTCAATGTGCCACAAGTATTCAGAAGGTGTTACTCTAATCTGAGTAGCCCCAATTCCTTTGGTGTAGTATCTGTGTTGTAAATTACAACCCACAGTATGAACCCATGGTATGAACTCACAGTATGAACCCACGGTCTCAGGTATGTGGGTAAACCAGAAGGGTAATATTTACAATCCATGATTTTTATTAGCTACTAATGAACTTGTTATTTCTATTTTTGGTACACAGATGCAAGTGCTTTGAGAGGAGGACTGTTTTTTAGAAAGTAGGTGTCTCAATGCTTTTGTAGACAATTCCAGGCACCTAAAATCACTGCTTCTGCAAATTTTGGCCATTAAAAGGAATAACATCTAAACTGAAATTCCTGTCCTACTAGCTACTTGATCTCTATCATTTTCCCAAGTTTGTCCTGAAGTTTAATGCCAGGGAATTGTTGTGCAGAATTCACTTGCAATATAATAATGTGTGGGACAAATACTAATTAGCCTTGCCGAGTTCATTAATTAATGGCAGCATACCTCCAGCAAAATCATTTTTCTCCTGCTTAAAATGGTTTGCATATTCTTTTCAGCACTCCCAGAATGGGATAAAAAAATCCAAAATGCCTTTCTGTCTCTCTATGACAGTTTATTTTGGGAATGTAAGGCAAAAGGAAAACCAAGCCCTTCCTACAGCTGGCTAAAAAACGGCCAGCCGCTCGCATCTGAGGTAAGGTTCCTGTCATCCCGTTTGCTTGCTTGCCCTTTTCTGTTTTTACGTGATTTAGTTGTGACATTAATTTTGCAGTGCATTACCTTTTTTACAGAAACGTTATTAAAGCTTAACATGGAAAAATAACAGCACAAACTCTGCACAACGCAAAGCCTCAGTTCTTGGAGTTCATCTTTATTGAAAATGTATGGTATTGCCAGTTTATATATAGAGAGAGACACCGATTTCTTCATATGATTTATCTTACAAAGCATCAATACTAAATACTTTTATAGACACAATCTGTAGTTTGCGACACCAGTAGGATGCCAACTGACTTTTTGTTGAAGAGCATTTCCGAGCTGGCATTGCAAACTCATCAGCCTGTTAACTTGCACTTTTCTTCTGTTTCTGTTCTTAATCGGTAGGCTGGATGGACCTTTGGTCTCATGCAGTATGGCCGTTCTTATGCCATGTTAATCCTTTAACTGAATTAATCAGTCAGCTATGAAAGTCAGCTAACACTGAGGTTAATACTTTTCTGGTGCTGTGTAGAGGAATAATAGACTAAAGAAAACCATATGAAGTTATAAGCAGAAGGTGAATAAGTGAAAAAAATCACTTAAAGGAAAAACAAGGACCCAGTGGAGTGGAAAGTAGTGAAGGGATAGGAGTGCAGGAGGAGAGGGGAAATCAATTGGAGCTCAAATGTTTAAGAAACCTGATCAGATGCTTATGTAGACGGGTCTTTGAGAGCCCAGCTTTGTCTCTGTCCAGGCAGTACCATTATACTTCTGTGGTGGCCAAGCTTTGGCATATCCGTCTTCCAATCTCCAGTTGTTGGTGACCTCGTGGAGAGTGACTTCTACGTCAAGAGACTTTTTGCTGTGTTTGCGTTCTGCTGAGGACGAGTTTTCCTTTTTATTAAGCATCTATTCAGCATCTGCCGGGCATAAAATGGCATGGCTCATCTGTAATGCATTCTTATGTGGTTGGAAAAAATAATATTGTGATTAATTTCTGTCTAGCAAGAACAGATACAGACTCGTTTCCAAGACATATGGGGCAAATTAGCACCTGCTGGGTTGCAGAACCAGCACTTGTTTGACTTACTAGTACTTATTTGAAGCAGTTGGAGGGGGGTCCAATCTTCCATACGATTTTCTGCTGGATTTGTTCTAAACAGAGCCCAACTAGCGTCTGAGAAGGCTAGCCAGAATTTATTTGGATCGCAATTTTTCTGAACCTGCTCATTCTATTCATTGTCATCTCTTCCTAAGCAAGATTATCTAGTTTCTCTCTCTATGAAGGTGGTGATACTTAGATCTGTTGCTCTTCAATTGCATGGTTTGAATAAAAAAAAAAGAATAAACCACTCTACAGACACATTTTCTACTCACATTTTCGCCGTGGATAGTTTGGAGGTGCAAGTACAAGGGAGGTGTAATAAAATATTCAGTCTGTCCCAGCACCCTGCTTGTTGGCAATATCACAGGAAGAATACCTTCTGGATGCTTTCCACCTTGGGGCTGATTCTGAGGATATTGTCTACTCTTTGTCAACCCTTTCCCCCTGACCACCTGGTTGGGCATCTCGGCATTATTCCCGCTTGTGTACACGGCGTGCTGTATTCTTCCCTTTGTCTGCCTAGTACAAAGGAGCCAGCAGAGAACGGTGGGGGATTTGGCGTACGCATGAAACGCGAGCGTTGCTTCAGAAGGGGGTTTTGTATTCCAAAGCTGTTTATAAAAATAGAATGCATTGAGAGGATAGCAAACAGCCCGAAGGTAAAACTAAGTATGCAAAAGATATCTGTAGCGAGAGCCTCAGAAAAAATTAGCAGTGGATAAGTAATGTAATGTTGTTAATTAGTGTGCAATACACCAGCCATACAACCACAGGCTGTGCTCTCATCAAATTTCCCAGCTAAACAAGGTTGGTCTGGGTCAGATCTTGGTTGGGAGACCTCCAAGGAAAAGCCAGAGTAGTGGAAAATACGACTCTCTGGCTCAATAGATGGCACTCTCCCCTCTGCAAGCACCACGAGAGAAATCCCCCCAACAGGCTCTGCAACCGCCTTATCCGTGGCAACACAGCAAGTCAGGATATATACGTTCAGCAGTTCACAAATACATTTTAGATGCCTGTAGCTGTTCAGCAAAGGCTGTAATGTATACTCTAGCAATGTATGCTCCCATTACTGCTTCAGAGGCAGCAGAGCCAGACTAAAGGAGCAGCATAATAATAGGAGTAATACCTGGTGTTTCAGACCTGCATTTGGTGATGGAATTTTTATTCCCTGCTGTGGGTTTCTTCCACACTGATTTGTTTTGGGGAATGTATTCTCTTCTCCTTCTCACTGTTCCACTTTGAAGGGTAGCTATTATTGTCTCCAGAGGCTAGTAATTGTAAAATCACAAAATATTTAGCTTTAAGTTATGCTTGTAGCATGAAACAGGCTTTTTTTTCTGTTTGCCAAAACAGAGCAAATAAAACTCCTTTTAATATAACAAAACCTCAGTTCTGGTCCAAATTTACCCACTGCATAGTTTCCTCTATTTCAGCAGAATTTCACGGAAGAAACTTAGGGTGTGTAGAAATTCAAGCCGTGAGGAGCATGCTCTCCCTCTGATCTGAACTGTCGCCTGTGGGTTTCCAGTAGGAATTTAGGTTGGCTTTCAGCAAATCTTTTTCAGTGGATCATTTTTTCTGCGACTTGTTGTCCGATGATATCCAAATCTTTTTTCCATTATTTGAGCACCTCTGTCTCCTGTGGAGCTTTTTCCGATCATCTTAGGTTATCATCATCAGATTCATTTAATCAGACGAGGGGTGTAGGCCATGCTTCACCGGATGGGGCTGCAGGTGCTGCTTCTTGGGGGCTGTATGGAAGATGCTCCAGGCCCCCAGCTGGGAGCAGCCATACCTGCCCTGCAGTAGCTGCTTCTGCATCTGCTCCAGGGTGAAGCACGCTCCCAGATTCAGAGTTCAGCACTGCAGAGAAACACATGCAACAGCTGGAGCATCTGGGCAAACCTGCCCGAGGCAATGACTCTGCAGCACGTGTCTGGAGTTCTTGAAAAGTTTGAAGAAGTTTGAACCACCATCATATAGCCAAGGTGTACATCATATTTCTGATGTGTTCATTCACATTGCTTCCAAGAAAATAACATTTCTGCTTCGCAGTTATGATCAGGTGCAGTGGTGTGATACCAGAAAACTTTGGGTTTGTACACTCATTGGCTCTGTCAATGTTTTTTGCTTGTCTGTCTTTTATCAGGAAAGAATTCAAATAGAAAATGGGACTCTTATCATACATATGCTGAATATGTCAGACTCTGGCCTCTATCAGTGTGTGGCAGAAAACAAGTACGATACTATTTATGCCAATGCTGAGTTGCGGGTGATAGGTGAGTAAATGCCACGAAAATGAGCAGGTACTGAGTATAACAGGGCACTCATTTAAAAAAAATTAGTAATCAAGAAATAAACAGATTAAATTCCACCTGGCAGTTCAAGTCTGATGATATTTCTTTGCTGCTTGCTCTTCATCAGCCATGGGTGAAAGTTGTTGTTGTTATTATTATTATTATTATTATTTTGTGACGGGTTTGGAGGAAAATTCTGATCCCCTGCGTGGTCTTTTTTTATCACATACACACAATTTTAACGAATGCTGTTTCTCACTTAGCATTACGAGTTATTAATAGTTATTCTGCAGTTTTTAAAAGTCAGTTTCAGAAAGTGGGAAAAATAGTTTTAACTATAAAAAAAGAGCATATGGCAAATATGTATATAAAACCAAATAACATATAGCAATGTAATCAACATATAATCTCATTAACTGTTCAGAAAGTGGGAAAAATAGTTTTAACTATAAACAAAGAGCATATGGCAAATATGTATATAAAAACAAATAACATATAGCAAATAATCTCATTAACTATTAGCAGAGATGCACATAAAATTGAATTTGTTCATATATTATAAAAAGTATCCTGTTACAGATATCCAAATATAAAGTTTGTTCAACAGCCAAGTACTAGTGAAACCAGTAAAACACAGACTTTAGAATCACCTAACTGGTGTACAGGTCCTGTGTTTTCTCCTTCTCCAGGAGTAAATTTTCACATAAGTTACTGGAAAAATAAATACATTTCCAGAAAACAGTGTCAGTTCACGAACAGAAAGCCATTGAAAAAGTGTATTTGTAACTGAATACTCTAAACTCTGCAGACGAACAGGTGTGGCTGGGCACATGGATCAGGGTCATTCCAAGCACAAATAGAGGCTGGGCAGAGAATGGATTGAGAGCAGCCTTGAGAAGAAGGACTTGGGGGTGTTGGTTGCTGAGAAGTTCAACATCAGCCGGCAATGTGCGCTGACAGCCAAGAAGTCTAACTGTACCCTGGCCTGCATCAGGAGAAGCGTGGCCAGCAGGTCAAGGAAGGCGATTCTGCCCCTCTGCTCTCATGAGACCCCACCTGGAGTACTGCATCCAGCTCTGGGGCCCTCAAATTAAGAAGGGCCTGGACCTGTTGGAGCAAGTCCAGAGGAGGGCCATGAAGATGATCTGAGGGCTGGAGCACCTCTCCTATGAAGGCAGGCTTAGAGAATTGGGGTTGTTCAGCCTGGAGAAGAGAAGGCTGCAGGGAGACCTTATAGCAGCCTTCCAGTGCCTGAAAGGGGGCCTGCAAGAAAGCTGGAGAGGAATTTTTTACAAGGGCCTGGAGTGATAGGACAAGGGGTAATGGCTTTAATCTGAAAGAGGGTAGATTTAGATTAGATATAAGGAGGAAATTCTTCAGGATGAGGGTGGTGAGGCACTGGAACAGGTTGCTCAGAGAATTTGGGGATGCCCCATCCCTGGAAGTGTTCAAGGCCAGGTTGGATGGGGCTTTGAGCAACCTGGCCTAGTGGAAGGTGTCCCTGCCCATGACAGGGGGGTGGAACTAGGTGGTCTTTAAGGTCCCTTCCAACCCAACCCATTCTATGGTGCTCAGGAGTGTGATGTTTATCACTCTGCTCAGGAATCTCATTCTTCATCACAGATCAACCCTTTCTCTCAGTCTGCAGATAACCCTAAGGAAAGATTGCCAGAGCAGACAGTTTTTAGGTAGACAGTTTAGAAATAGCATAAATAAGATACAATGGGTTCTGGTTTTTTGGTACTTAAATACATTTTTCATGTTTGATCTATCCACTTTTGCAGAAACCTCGAAAGCAAAGTGATTATTGGATTCACCTAGTATGTAACTCGAAGAATTTAGCAAGTTCATTTAGTAACTTGCCACCTGCATACTGTTCTGCTCTTCTTCTTATTTCTCTATTTTTAGCTGCAGCACCAGATTTTTCCAAAAATCCTGTAAAAAAAACGTCCGTTGTCCAAGTTGGAGGTGAAGTTACAATTGGTTGTAAACCGAGTGCTTCTCCCAGAGCAGTCATTAACTGGAGAAAGGGCTCAGAGGTTCTGCGCCAAAACAAAAGGTACTGTCATCAACCGGTTGCTGGATTGTTGGGTGTTGTCTGGTTTAATCTTATTTAAACGTCGCCGAAACGCAGCTGACTTAGCATTGCTTTTGACAGCTCATTGACAGAAAACTTTGATGCCAGAGGCCTATTTGTCTTTAGCAGCGGCCATACCGTTCTGCAGATATAAAGCTGATTAAGAACAAAGCCAAACCGAATACACGCGGGTAATTGTACGATACATACGTTTGCGTTCATCAGCGGTTAATTCACTGCAACACTATCAGAGCTGACTGTTTGCCACACGCAAAGCCTGACTGAATCAGCTTCATGTAGGAGACATCAGTGGAGGCTTCAGGGAAGCAGAATATACCCCCAGGCTGCGGCTTAATTGCTTCACAGCTGTACAGGTTGTATAATAACCCATAGCTAAATCAGCCTTCATGTTCTGTTTCTTCTGTTTAGGAAGGATTTAGCCACTGGACCAGCATACTGGTACGCTCCATCACCAACCAGTATGGGGTTGCATGGTCTTCAGCAGGGCCTTACTGACCTTTTGTCTGTGATGGCTAACAGCTTATTTGTGAGCTGCCACAAACCATCTGCCTTATTCCATGCTAACGGCAATTAAATGGTAAAGCATTAAAATCAAAAGCAACTTACTGACTGGAGTAAGTTGTGACTCGTATACACGATATATAGCTGTGGTGATATTTCCATATGCAAATGTAGACAGATGGATGAACTGGGCAATGGTGTCTACGAACTGTAATCTTTCTCAGCGTCTCTTTCAGTTCCCAAATATAACAGCCACACTGTTTTATCACGTTATCATTTTCCAAGACTGAAAAGACCATCGGTAATTCATAAAGCTCTGGAAATCGAACACCCGATTTTGCATGCAGGACTGGTTGCTCAAGGAGGTTAGTTTGGGTTGCATAAGACTTAAAATAATTACTATTCGTTAAAACAACATTATGCAAACCTGTGACACAAAGAAATATTTCCCTATCCCGTATTGCAGTACCAGACAATACAGACAAAAGTAATTAGGAGAAGTATACGTGAAAGAAAGTGCAAATCGGAGAAGTATTTCATATAGTTACTCGCAATGAAACAGCAAAATTTGGGTAAGCAATCCATGCCACAGGGTACAGAGAACTTTCCAATGATTTCCCCCCCTTTCACTAATGGCAGCTTTATTTTCTGTTTAACTTCTCAGCTAATGATGAAAAATATTGTTCTAACCAGTGTTCAGTCAAATCTTTACGTGCATTTTAATTGTACGGTCTATTCAACAGAAATGCCTGCTCATTCCTATTAGACGCAGCCCATCCCTACAGTGTGTAGAAAACATGCTCAGGACGCAGTTTGCACAGGTAATCTCTGGATTTTCTGACGTTGCTGAGAACAGGAGCAAGGAGAGCACTGTTCAAAATGTACAAGTTAAATAGTTGAATTAAGCCTAGATCTTGAGGTTCTAGTACCCTGATACGCCCCTTCTGATTTGCTTATAAGAAATATTTACATACTGCATACGGTATTTACTTGTGCTTCGGTATTAATTTGCTAACAATAATTATAAGCACACTGTAATTTTTGAGCATCCCAGAGGCCTTCTGCTGCTTAGCAGGAGTAAACAAAAGGAGCAGGATTTACGCTGAGGCGAAGGGGGTGTGGGTGTGTGTGTTTAAACTCTCCATGTGCAAAACGCCCTTACCAGTGTGTTCACTGGTGCAAAGTAGAATTCATGAGGCTCTTTGATTATTAACTGACAAAATAGCTAATGCCATGGTTTTAAAGAGGAGGAAATAACTCAGCTATACAGAGTTTTTCCAGAGATCTTTGTGACAGAAACCAGAAAATGAAATAAGGATTTGTATGGCTGTAATTAAAGTACGCAGCTAATTAAAGTACTAAAATCATACGTATCTTTGCTCAGAAAAAAGAGAAGGAATTTGCTCTCTCTTTCTCTCTTTATAAGATTAAACCCTGACATGTCACATACAGATTAACTCTTTTAGCTAAAGCTATCCTTATTTCTGCTCCCATTTTCTTGTGCAGCATTCATAATCTCCCTGGACTCCTTTACTAGCTTTTTAAAAAAAAATATATATATATATGTGGTTGGGTTATAAATAGTGAAAAAAAAAAAAAAAGGAAATACCGATCCCTTATGGTTCTGACAGCAAAACTGTGATGGACACATTGCTAAATAAGTCGGATCACAAAGAGTCTTCAAAATTATTTAGACAAATTCAATCTTTTGTTACAGAAATAGTGCAACTAGACCTATTCCACCCTAAGGGGAAAGGATATTCTTTCTCTTTCACCTTCTTTCTTTCACTCATGATAATAGTTTATTCCTGATCGTCACGCATACATGGTCACTGCTCTCCCTGATCGAAATCACTCTTAATATGACAAGGTAACTCTGCTTTATATTAATGTTAGTTTGTAAGTATGTAAAGAGAAGTGTGTTAACTAGGAAGAGCTAATTAATAGACTATCCATATTAATAAAAGCACCGTGAAATATTTTTATTTGATTTCCTCTGAGGGTTTTTTAATCAAGCCTTTTCAAGTTTACCAAGCTCTGCAGTATTTGGGCCCCTGTTATTTGAAATATATCTTCATATTTTCTGAGTCTGAAGTGTAACCTTCTGAATCTCTTGCCATGGTCCAGCAGTGAAGGTCCTCAGCCCCCTTTCTGGGGCACGGACTGTTTCCTCCAGCCCCACTTGTCTCTCCCATCTTCTCTGCAGCTCAAACAGATCATTGCCCAGATCTTCAACAGCTTGTATGGTCTCATTTATGTAGACTACTTCATTGCATTTGAAGCATACGCCTAAGTCCTTAAAAAAATTCCCAAATTAATACATTTTTACACTAGATGGTAAGATAAAGCCTGAACATACCTGTACCAGGTCTGCTTACTGATCCCTGTCTTAATGTCCCCTCTGCATTGAGTATTCTACTTCAAAATTTTCAGAAATATCTAAATTCACCCTCATTCATATGGCTCAACCCCTGAGTAGCTGGGTTTATCTTTGGTTCATGCTGCTGGCCACCTTAGAGAGGGAATTCAAGGTTACCAGCTGCAGGAATCAAAAAAGAAATTCCATGGTTGGCTAATCCTAGCTGGTTTTACCTGCTCTCTCCTCCCGTGATCCCCCGATCACCTTCTCTGGATCATCTAGCAGTACAGCTTCAGGTTTTCTTTTGGGCAATTAACCTCCTTTGGATCAAAGTCTTGTGAAATGGGCTTTTGGCAGCAATACCGTTTGTCCAGTGGGCAACAGTTTGAAAAGATTTTGTTTGCCCTTTGCTGAATGCACCACTTTTTCCTGGCATGGGGACTGGACCTCCATGTAAAATTAAACGCAACAAAGAAAACTAACAAGCTTTATGCTCTGAGCTCCCACCCTGTGGGGTCTGATACTGGTATGAGCTATTTTCAAGTATGTCGTATACTCTCAGCAAGTGCAATGGACTTTTCTTCATCTCACTTCTCTCTTCTATCATTTCATGTGTCTGCTGAGAAAAAGTGGAAAAGAAAGAGTAGGAGAGAACAATTTATATATTAAAGCAAATTTTCAAGTCTAGACACTGATCTCATCAGAAATGTATGTCTTGTTGTCACCTTCAGTGGATTCAGGATCAGGACGCTCATGGAAAACTTATTTTATAAAAATTCTTTTTGATTGAAGCATTTTAATAAACAAGAAATGGAACCCCTTTTGCTTTACCAGAGAGAGGTGCTATTCCCTCACCATGGGCTGAGGATCCCCAAACACTGTAGTGAATGCACATAAACATATGTGATTCACTCCACTCGGAAATTAAATGAGGATAGCAGAGGGAAAACCAAGCAATGAAGTAGGCTGATAGAATGCATTAGTCATATACAGCACTTTCCATGCATTAATAATCAGTAATAAGCAAATATTCATAATTTAAATCCTTTTCTGGGGACTGGACAAGAAGTATGTTTGGGGTCAATAAAATATGCTCAATACTTGTTGGCTGCTAGACTTGCTTGTAAGACACAGCTCAGTCCCATCTCTGTGAAGGATGGTAGTTGATTCTCTGCCATGAAAAAAGCTGCTCTACATGGTAAATTCATCAGTAATAAGCAAATATTCATAATTTAAATCCTTTTCTGGGGACTGGACAAGAAGTATGTTTGGGGTCAATAAAATATGCTCAATACTTGTTGGCTGCTAGACTTGCTTGTAAGACACAGCTCAGTCCCATCTCTGTGAAGGATGGTAGTTGATTCTCTGCCATGAAAAAAGCTGCTCTACATGGTAAATTCTTCTCTCCCATGCCATGCTTTTTTTTTTTTTTTTTGGTGTTTTGCACTCAGGTTATTGCCATTTCTCAAAGGAAACATGGGGGACTGATTGAGCGCTGAAATGAAAAGCTGTCTTCCAACAGCCTTATGCAAAACCACCTGAGCAGATGTCGGGACTGGAGACTTCTTCTAAAACTATGGGTGGGGGGAATTATCTGGTAATTGCCAAGGTCCTACAGCTTCCCCTTGGAGCCTCAAACTCAAGGGGATTCTCCTGCTCCCATGTGAAACGCAAGGACCCAGCAGGTGTCTTTAACTAAAGGGTTGGCTCTGCTCATGGTTTTGTGCTATGTCTGGATCGCTCTCTCGGGCTCCTAGGCAGGACCATTCCCCTGCAGCCTTCTGAGCACTCGCGGCCACCATCTGCTTCTGCCTTTCTTCTGCTGCTCCGCTGTTCAAAATCAGATTCCAAACCTGTGAACATTTTAACACATTTAACACATTTTGAACTTTTTTGTTATTTGGGGAAAGAATTCTGTCTTCTTGTGACTGCTGTTGGATTTAGAGAAATAGGGAGTTAAAAAAATAAAGGCAATTAATTGGTAAAACTCCTGAATCCACTGATCAAATACAACATACAAAACATATTGTACTGTGAAATGGCATTTCAGCTTGAACCAATTTGAGAAGAAATGTGTCAGGGCAGTTCAACAAACTTCAAT